AAAAAAAAAAAAGGATGGGGTGTCTGGAGGAACTAGCCCTTCCCCACCTCCGCTCCTCTCCCTGTCCTCAGTTGCCATGTCCTGTGCCACCCCTGCTCCTATCAGCTCACCCTCCCCAAAGTCACTCAGGCCTGGAGGACTTCAGGAGAGAAGCACAGGCTGAGGATTCCCATGGGCACACTGCAGGGCAGGGCTGAGCCTCTACGCTCACACAGGGGCCTAGGGAGGGAAGAAAGGACGGTGCTGGGCTAGGTGGCTGGGCATGGAGGCCACAGGCAGGCCACAGGCACCATGTGGCCCCCTGCAACTTCCCTAGCACGCTCCAGACTCATGTCATACGTCATGTACCTGTGCTTTGGGGGCACCTTTCTTTTCGGAGTGGTCCTAACTGCCACATCCCCACACTGAGTCCAACTGTGTGAGGCCATCCCCTCTCTCAGTGACTATACCTGACCAGGCTAGGTGCCAGGAGCCACCTGGCAGCTCCGTGGGGAGGCCACCACTGACTGTGATGGTGCTGGGAGTATGGAAAGGGCTGGGGTGCCAAGAAGACCGGAAAACCAGGGACCTGGTGACTTGTGCAGGAACCTTCTGTCTGCCAAACCCATTAGCATGTTGTCATGATCGCCAGGCCTGCAGGGTACGGGTGTCACCCCATGGGATGAAGAAGGGGTTGGAGGCCCAGGGGAGTCAGTGGCCTGCCCAGGATCACACGGCGATCGTCATGGCTAGAGCAGTGGGTCGCAAGGTGCGCAAGGTGCCGCACGCACTATGAGGTAGCTGGTCGTGGAAAGCCATTTTTTGGACAAGAAAACTGAGGCATGACAGCGCCTCTCCTGAGGTCCCGCAGTCAGCGGGCTGGCTGAGATCTGCTCTCTGTACCCTGCTGGCCTCTGGCTCACAAAGCCCTCCCAATCATCACTGCCTGGGCTTCCCACCCAGCTTCTGCAACCTTGGTCTGCAAACTCCAGGGCCTTCAGCAGGCAGCAGGAGTTAAACGCAAACTTGCCTGGACTGATAGAATGCCCTGCGCACAGGAGGTGCTCAGCACCTACCTGCAGAATCGAATCTGTCTTCCTGGTCTCATTTGTGTGGCTTTGGGAGCCAGAGTGCCAAGAGTTCTGTGACTCAAGCAGGTCACATGCCAAGATCCAAAGAAAAGAAGGGGGCCTGGCCTCGCAGCTAGACTGGCTCCTGGCTTTTGATCACCCTCTGCCACACCTCATGCCTTGGCCACTGGCGGAGGAAGCTGGCATGGAGAGGGCACCAGACCCAACCTCCACCCCAGACGCGCCCTGTATGTGCAGCTTCCTCCATCTTCCTCCTTTTCCTGTCTGCGCTGCTGCCTTCCACAGGGAGGGCTCACCCAGCTGGTTCCACCATCGCCCTGCAGTCCCAGCCCTCTGCTGGCCTCTCAGATGGAGCCAAGCCCAGAGGTTCAGGGTTTGCAGCAGGCACATGGCATGCCAAGCTCAGGACTGCAGCCCCACCAGGCTCCAGGGCTCTGACCTTCCCGCTGGCCTCTCCTGCTTTCCACCCCAGCCTGAAGCACAGGGGATCGGTGGCACTTACGTCTGGGCTCCCGGGGTCCATCCACAGTGACTTTGATGGCTCGATGGTAGGTGGCCACTTGGGTGGGGTTGGTGAACACAGTGATGGTCAGTGTGAAACTCTTCCCTGAGGAGAAAAAGGCAGCAAGTTGGCTTCGGGTGCTTTCACCACGCCCTGGTCTCCTACCTATACTTCTGCTAGGAACCCCTGACCTTTTAGAAAAGAGGTTTCTCCCCTTGAGCCTGGAAGATGGGGCTCAGGGTGAAGTTGAAGCTGGTGAGGTTGGCATTCAAGGCTCTTGGGAGTCTGGCACTGACTCTGTTACTTGCATGTTTATTATTTTCTTGCTTCTGGGTCTTTTTTGGTGCTATTGGTATTCTTCAGAGACACACAATTTTGCAGTGGGGAACAAGGATAAGGGTGTGTGTGTATGTTAACACACATGTATATATATGTATATATGTATATATATATATATATCCACATATATGTTAGTATTCTCTTAAAGTAGTAATCTTTGTAGAAAAATTTGAAGACATCATAAATATAAAGGAAGAAGAACAGCCCCCCCAGCTCCAATGCACAGTTCCATGAGCCAGAAATAAGCGTCATTACTACTTGGGCATTTCTTCCTCCAACCCTTTTTAAAATTTTTATTTATTTATTAATTAAATGTATTTTAGTACAGGGTCTACAGGGTCTCACTACACAGACTGGACTCATAGTGATCCTTCTGTGTTCAGCCTCCCCGTGCTGGGATTACAGACGTGCAGCTACCACGCCCAGTCTCAGGCTCAGCACGCCCTGGGGGCGGGGGTGGGGCTGGCACGGCAGGCTGGGTATCCAACACTAAGCAGGCACTTTAGTCCACTGAGCTATCTGGCCAGCCCTCCTCTAACCCTTTTTGTACAGGTTTGCATATTTACACAGTTCCAGTGGCATAGAAATTTTTTTTTTTGGTGGAACCGGGTATTTATTTATTTATTTATTTGGCGGAACCGGGGATTGAACTCAGGCCCTTGAGCTTGCCAGGGAAGCGATTATTCCACTGAGCCATCTTGGAACCGGGTATTGAACTCAGGCCCTTGCATTTGCCAGGCAAGCACAAATGTATTTTTTTTTTAAATACTTTTCTTTTTTCATTTAACATCACACCAATAATACTTTGTTAAGTTATTAAAAGTTCTTCTTAAACTTTGTAGCTTTGTTTGTCTGTTTCTGGAGACAGGCTCTCACTATATCATTTAGACCAGCCTTGAGCTTTGCGTGGCCCAGGCTGCCCTCAAACTCACAGCAATCCTCTTGCCTCAGCCTCCCAGGTGCTGGAATCACAGGTGAACACCCTGGGCTCCTGTGCCCAGCTTAAATTAATTTTTTAGTAGCCACGAAATATTTCAAGTCACGGAAGCTTCATCTTCTACTGCTTTACCTCCAAGCCGCAGGGTCTTCACACGGGTGCTAGATCCTGAGTGGCATGTGCAGCCCGGGCTGGAGGAAGACAGCTCTGGAAGCTGCAAACTTTTTGTCTGCAGACACAAATGTTATCTCCACAACCCACTTTCTATTTTTACCTAGACATTTGGCTCCAAAGTCTCCATTCAAAATTCTTGAGAGAAGGGGAAGAAAACCTTTTAAAACAATACTTTTTTTTTTTTTTTTTTACCATTTAAAATGAAATGAAAATGAGCTTCTGTTTATAAAAATCTTTGCCTGAATCTCCGCTTAGTTCCTTAGAATAGATTCAGATAAGTGGTAAGTGATGGCCTCGCATGTGAGGGCTGGGGCAGTGAGAGCTGATTGCCAGGGACAAGGTGGCTCTCAGAGACTCAGCCACACGTGAGGAGCAGGGTGAGGGCCAGGGTCACTGGCCCCCAACAGTGTCTATCAGACAAAAGATCTTCAGGCTCTGCATTTTCTTTTGCTTTTCTTCTCTTATTAGTGAGGCTGAGCCTTGCGCACGGCTATCCATCACAATCCAACACACATCATTGCTCTGTGTCCTTTACACGCCGGCCAACACTTGTCACGTTGCCTCCCCAGGGCGGCGGCAGCGGGCTTCTCATTTCCCTAGAGCTCCATCTCCATCCTCAGGTCTGGCTCTTGCTGGGGTCTTCTGCTTTTAGGCGGAGACAGGTTTCCTGCCGCCGACAAAGCCAACAAAGCCAGTAAAGGTTGACTTTGAATGCAGCCATCCCTCTGCTGCCACTGTGAGTGACCTGGAGGTTTTGTCCTACAGGGGAGCCTAATTTTACTAGCACCTAAATAGACGGCATCCTCTACCTAGTTACATTCCGAAACTTTGCGTATACAAGACTGGGGGAGCTGCACTGATCCCCACTTCCCCTCCTTCTGCACCAGGGTACCCCTGGGCTCCTGCCTCCGACCTCTCACAGAGGGCTCCTGCCCTCTGCTGCCTTCCTCTGGCGCTGCAGACAGGCTCCGGAGCCAGGCGGGGAGCCACTCAGGAGGCACAGGATTTCATTCCCTTGGGTACCCATTGGCTGAGAGATCAAGTGAAAATTCTAGCCTCAGAAACAGGAGGAGCCTGAATAAAATTAACCCAGCCAGGCACAGGGGCCATGCCGAACAACCCAAGGGCTTCTGAGACTCAAGGGGGTTGAAAGCTGAAGCCTGACAGTTGTGGCTCTGTGTGGAATGAGCGGGGCTTCTCTGATGCCTCCTGAGCCAGCAGCTGGAGGCCAGGACAGAAGCACTGTGGCCTCACTCTCAGGGTGTTAGCGTGACTCATGGCGACGAAAGTCAGGTTGCCCAGAGAGATGCAGGCCGGTGGCCTCCCACTGCTGCCACCCACTACTGAGATGGGCCTGCCTTCTGTTGCCTTCCTTCCTGTCCTCCCAGGCCTCCCCCTCTGAGCGCCCAGGTACTCCCTGGGGGCGGGGGTGTCCCTGACCTCCCCTTCCCCACTTCTAGCCCCTCTGGTTCTGGCCAGGCTCGCTGGGGAGTTTGGCTACCATGAGCCCCAATGGCCTGAGTTTGGACATGGAAAGGCCAGGCACACTCACTCCCTGCAGCAGTGGCCAGGCCGCAGCCACACTTCTGGGCCTGAACTGAAAAGTCACCTTCTCCAGGAGCCTCTTTCTGATCACTTTATTTCAAAGAGTCTTCTGGGGTCTGCAGGGATAGCTCAGCAGCGGAGAACTTGCCTTGTAGTGCCAGCCCTTGGATTCCAGCCCCAACACCAAAATAATAATAATAATAATAATAATAATAATAATAATAATAATGATAATAATAATAAACAATAATAAACAATAATAATAATAAAATAAAGCAGGCATTTTAAACTTAGCCTCCAAGAGGAATGCTTAGCACGCTGAGCAGGCCAGAAACCAAAAAGGGAAGGAAAACTGCAATGGCATTGTCCCCAGCCTCTCGCCGAAATGCAGCCTGTCTTAAGCAAGAGCTCATGCCACAAGCCACGGAGGTGCTACATGGGCCACACCCATGACCTTGCTGCCAGGGACGGGGCGGGACAGACATTTACACAGCACCTGTCGGTCCTTTCAGATTTCTCTAAATACCTTTTATGCTTCTCACAATGTCAAAGTCACCGTCATCATTAGAATCATTGCTTGATATTGTTACTTAATACATTAAACAAAGCAGCACATTCATCCCAACTTTTTAAGCATTTGCTGCTTAATGGCGCTTCTCAGTATACTGCAATTCTTTGGGTTTTATTTACCACGAAAGCCGCTCAATCTGTAGTCTCACAGGGCTCCCTCTCCCTGCTTTCTTCAATCCTGGGTGCTACAAGAATTTCTCCCACAGAGCCTATCATTTTAAGTATCCTATCCGATGTATTTATTTTCCTTTGTCTCCTTCTATTGGATCCCAAGCTGCCTTGGGGGCCGGAATTTATGTTGTGTTCACTGCATTCCCAGCCCATAGAACAGAACCTGGCAGGTAGTAGGTGTTCAACAGATATCTGTTCATTGAATTATGAGCAGAGATTGCAGCTCGCTTTTTACAGAAGCAAAGAGTGAGCGGGGAATTGGCGAGGTCACACAGTATCCACACAAGACCCGGAGAGGTTAGCGTGTGCAACAGCCTGTTTCCACAAGGGTACTAAAGACCTGTTCCCTCAGTGTGAAACCACCACCCCCAGAAGGTAATAAGCCATATGTCCCCTCTTGCCCCCCCCAGGTCACCAGCATGCCTCAACAGTTTCCTCCATTCCCAAGTATCAGAACAGAAGAGACAGTGTCAGAAAGACAGCATGCTAGGAGCACAGAGTGGGTAGGAGGGGAGCAGTAGGGACCCCAAGAACCAAGGGTGGGAGAAAGCTATCTCTTTGGGTGTCCCTCGTTGCTCTCTGGTCCTACCTTGTGCTCTCTCTGCCCACCACCCCACCCATCTCTCCTGGCTTCTTGGAGCAGGAAGCTGGGGACAAAGGAGGCGGATATCTCTCTTCAAGGAGCTTGGCAAATGTCCACTCAGCTGCCGGGGAAACAGGTGTTCCCTGGGGCACTGGACAGCCCTGCAGGACCCAGTCCTCAGCAACCAGCAAGCTAAGCCAGGCAAGACAAGGTAGCCTGAGGCATGTTCTTGGGCCTCTGAGAGCACCACCCGCAGGAGCTGCATGGGTCTCGCAGCTCTCAGGACCTCTGGGTTTTCTCAACATTGGCCAAGATGCCGTGGAACCCATCCCTTTCTCAAAAGGTGCTCTCTTAGGCCTGCACCACTACTTCTCACCTACAGTACTAATGTTCCTTTTTACTCAGTTAAAGACAGTACAGGTACTGGCATGATTCTCAGCTGCCCCAGGCCAGAGGCCACCCCCTACAGGACCATTTGGGGGTTCGTGGTCAGCAAAGCACTGGGGTGGCACTGTCAGTTTTTGGGAGGGTGTGTGCAAATGCCCAGGGATGCCCAGGGCCTGCAAGAATGTATTTTCCCTGGGGGAGCTCAATCTTGCTTATAAAAAGTCTCTTAACTCGTGATGAACCTAATTCAATTTTATATAGGACAAGGCAATTTTTTTTTTTGGACACTTTTACTATCTATTCAATTTTCCAGAAGAAAAGACAGTTTCATGCAAATCTGGGGCTTAGTGGTAGACTGTCTGAGTAGCATGGTGCACGGCCCCAGGGTTGATACCCAGCACCACAAAAAAGATAAAAAAGTGTTCTGAGCATTGCCATGAATTTTCGCATTGTCAGAAGGTCCCGACATTGCTGGTGAGGCCAGCCACTATGAGGCCTGGAGTCTGGTGATAAGCCAGCTTGCTGGGGTTTCTGCAGCTGTCCTGGGGCTCTTGCACTATCTACCTTGGAGAATCAGTCTCATCGCTACAGGGATTACCTGTTACTCTGATTTTTCCTCCCTGGCAGCTATGGAATTATCTACATAAGTAGGTAGATTATGGGAATCTGGAAACTTCACTTTAAGAGAGGAAAGGGGCCGAGGAGTCACTGTGTGAAAAGGGTGCTGGCCTGGAAGAATGGGAGCCTGGGACCTCCTCCCTGCAGGCAACAGTCAGGAGGTGGTTTCCTCTCTACTGGGTGCTTGGTTCACACCTGCGACCACACTGTAAGAACTCTATGGTCTTCCTGTGTCCTTTTTCCAAAGCCACCTCTCTGCAATTCAGATGGGATCAAGGAGAAAAAAGTAGAGGAAATGAGCAGATGTATCCACCTGAATTCTCAGTTCTGGCAGCTGTTAATGGGTCAGGGAAGGGTCCTGGTCCCAAACCCCAACCTGTCCCAACTCTTAGAGTGGCCCAGACTGTGCATCAATCACGGGTCTGTTCTCAGGTGGGGATTTCCCATCAGCAGGCCCACGCAGAGGAGATGGCCCGAATGGCAGCTCCTGTGCCCTCCCTCCCACTGCCGGCCTCCTCACCTCTCCCACTCAATAATTCACACCTTCTGGGTTTCCTCCACCCCCGCCCAAACCACACTGTAATCAGAGAATCAGTGGCTGTCACTGCTCAAAGGGACCTCAAAGGCCTCCTCCAGGCCTGAGCATTTAAGGTAACCAAATCTCTAACGTGTATCCGGGTCTACACACTCACACTGATTTCCTCAATCTTCCCCAGATCTCAGGAGGGAGGTGCCCTTTTCACTATCACCAATCACCACTGCCAACAGGTTCTACAGACAAGGAAACGGAAGCACCGAGAGGCTAAGTCATTTGTCCAGTGTCACCCAGCACGTCACTAGCAGTGCTGGGGCTCAAACAGGAGAAGCCAGTGCTTTGAAACTGTATCTCCCTGGGGGTGGGGGGGGCAGTCAGGGTGGCTCAGGCCTGGGGGCGTGCAAACAGCAAAGGCCTCATAATCTCATCTCTTCTCTTCCTCTCATTGCTCTTCCCTAGAGAGGGAGTAGTAGCTTGGGAGGGGCGTTCCTGATGCTTTGTGGCACTGCTGGGACCCATCTGCTTTTGGCCAGCTTTGTTAACCCAGAGCGGCCACAGCAATGGGTGGGGGCACGGCACACACCTGGGCTACCCCTTCCTGCCACTGGCCACCAACCTGCCACAGTGACTCTCCACTTGGGCCGGGGCTAGGATTAAGTTGCAAAGAGCTGGAGAGATTGGAGATGACAAAAGCGGCTTGGAGACTAATTAGGAGCAGCAATGAAAGCTTAATTCATAAAAGCAAACATTTTCCATCCATCAACCTGCAACCAGTTAAGGGTACCGTTTGAAAGAAATCTGTGCGTGGGGAAGAGAGCCAACAGGAACAGGAAATGTTTGAAAGAATGTAAACTATTTCAGTTTCATAAAAAGTAACAAGTAAACAGTTATTACATGCAAATAATGCCCTGGTTTTAATTAATGCTGAAAAGTCAAAATATGTTTGACATTTGTATGTATACACTAAACCGGCAGAGAGGACACAATGGTGCCCAGATGCCCGTTAGGGAGCAGGCTGGCGGCTCTGAGGGAACTAGGGCCTTGAGAAGCCTTGTTTATTGGTGATGAAAAGTACAATTCTGCTCCAGCAGGCAGCCCCAGCCCTGGGTACAGTCTGGGAGCAAGAGCGAGGGAACTCAGCTCACCTTGCCCCAGAAGAGAGCTCTGGTGCTGGGGAAAGCGCCCCTCTGCCCAGCCATTTCTGGCTTATCTCAAAGGGCAGGCAGACCTAAGCTTCTGAGTTGCCACCCGGCAGGGTTTCTAGGGCTCCTCCACCCAAGAGTTGAGTGATGATGGGGTTTGGGTCCCAGGGCCTCCCACTCAATAGCCCCTGGCAGTAGTCAGTGTGGCGTCTCCTGCTGCCTTCCTGCCCCTGCCCTTGTCGGGAAGATCAGACAAGCAGGGCAGCCACTAGCCTGCCTCTGGGGCAAGAGATGGCAGCGCTAACACAACCCATACCGCATTGATCTCTCTTCTGAACGAGGGTTTCGAGGGTTTCGGGAGACCACAGCTGGGGGAGGTGGCCTCAAAGTGAGAGGAAATTCTGCCCCTGGGAGAGAGTGGCTAGCGTGCTGCAGACCAAGAGCATGTCCACGAGCCCTCGGTCAAGGCTTTCAAGCTCCCCTTCTGAACTTAATTCACAATCTTCTCCCAGAATATTTTTTTTTAGATCAGAGGTGCTCAAGTGGGAAAGGGGCTGCATGGAAGGTTTCTGCAGTTTCCAGAAACTGGGAGAAAATCATCTTTTTCATGCAAGAGATCATAAACTTCCTCACATCCTCAAAGAAGTCAGTAACACCCTAATGGTCACACATTGCTATTTTAGAAAAGCTGGGGTCTGAAGACCTGTTTCTGGATGCCAAGGTCTCTCAGCTTCCTTCCCCCACCTGTGCCATCACCAGTGTATGTGGGGGGGGACAGGTCTCCCCCTCGAGAACTCACCTCGCCCGCTGCGGCCCACAAAGCGAAGGTCGTTGAACCTGGCCACCTGATTCTTCATGACGGCTGAGGCATTGCGCAGCTCAGCAGAATAGTTCTCGTCATTGCCTGCCATCACAGTCACCACAGTTCCATCTGGCACATCCCCCAGTGCCACCACCTGAGGACACAGGGAGAAGGGGACAGCTTAGGCAGGAGAAAGCAGGAGAAAGAGGGGAGGGGCTGGACCGGCAGCTTCCCCTAGATCCCAGATGCACTGCACTGCGGAATTCTCAAATGCAGGGAGGGAGGCTTAAAAACAATGAAGATCTTCCCAAAATAGAACAAAAACAAGAAGATGAAATCTCTACCTTCCGTTCCCAAGCCCTACATCAACTAGTTAGCCCGTGTCCCAATAAATCATCCTTCCAATTACACGAAACTAAGGGGAGAGCTGTGAATTAGTTCAGCCACTCGGAAGTGGGACGCAGTTCCTCTGTCCTTCTCTGCTACAGAAAAAGAGGAATCAACATGCTCCTAGCAACTAAGTCTCCAAGTAAAAAGAATATCAACAATAATAATAACAGGACGGCCTCTTGAACTCTATTCACGCAACAGCCCACGGCCTATGAAATTTGGCCCTGAAATGTAGCCCAGGCCCAGTTTATTGGCCTCTCCAGAGCTTGAATTCGTTATACAGAGAAAATGCAAAACAAACTGCTGTTTTGAGCAAGGTCAGTCCAGAAAGCCCCTGCAGAGTCTGAGGGCCGCGTCTGTTATCAGGAGGATGCACCTGCCAAAAACTGCAGGGTGGGTGGGGATGCCCTTCACCACCCCAACACCTCTCGCAGCTCCCACCCCAAGGAGCAGGAGAGGCAGATGCCTTCTGAAAAAGAATCAGATTCTAAATAGAGTCACAGCCATTTAAACGTGGCCACCGCGTGTAGGGACTGGGGATCCAGATGGTAAAAATTTCAAGGAGAAAATGTTTGGGGTTTGATTAAAAAGGCCAGATTTCCTGTCAACATCCTGTCTTCTTTTAATTTCAAAGATTCCTTTTAAGCTCCAAGTGACAGTAAAACCTCCGATCTGACGATTACAGTCACACGGGCCTCCTCCCCCTCCCCCCTCCCCAGGGAGATTTTCCCCGCTGGTATTTTAAGATGTCACCCGGGGAGACCTCAAAGAGCCACCAGTCCTTTTTTAAAAAAATTCAGAGTCGTCTTAATGGGAGCAAAGAGGTCTCATCTGCCAGCAGCCGCCTTTCTCAGCCATCTCGAGCACCACCATCTCCCCAGCCGCTGGCCCTTCCTGCCCTGCCCTTTCTTGCCACAGCTGTGAGAGGTTTAGGGGAAAACCAAAGCGTTTTTCGTTTCATCTCGCTGCCCCCTTAAAAAAAATGAAAATGAAACAGTCGCCTACTCCTTGACATTGAGAAAAAGTATTCTTTGAATGACTAGGGGCTGCCAGGAGTGAGACCAACCATAATCTCAGCCTGGCATTCTGGATGCAGAATATCCTAGCAGCATCCGCATCTGCTCACAGAGTGCGGCGCCACTGACCTCGGCCTCTGGTGGCTCCGGGGTAGTAGGGAGTCAGAAGCTGGAGCCTGAGGGTGTGAGCAGGAAATGCTTCTGAAGCTGCGCAGGAGGAGGGGTGCATCCACGGCGGCTAGGCCCAGCTCAACCTCTGCACCCCATCTCGGTGTGCTCACCCTAGTCTTGGGATCCTCCTCCCGGTTGCTCCCAGGGCTGAGACCAAGGGACTTCGATCAGGGGAAGCCAAGCCTCCTCCTCCTCCCGATTCTGCATCAGTATTCCTGCGTAGGGCTCCGCAAAGCCCAGACGGAGGGGCGCAGAGCCCCTCAAAGGTATGGGTTCAGGGAGCATCTAGGAAGGATCTTCAGATCCGCACGCTGAGCGCGCAGTGGGGCCGCTGGGGCTCGGGCGCGTCCTCTCCGCAGTCCTCCCGGGGCCCTGGCTTCTGCAGCGCGGACGCCAATGTCCCCTTTCCCCGCCCGAGGCCCGCACTCACCTTGAAGGCGACGGGCAGCGTCTTGTTGCAGCGCCAGTGCGAGGGCAGCACAGAGCAGAGGAAGTTGGGGCTGTCGGTGCGCACGAGCTCGCCCGCGTGGTCCGCCAGCACGTCCACCATCGAGCGCACCTCGGGCCGGCCGCGCCCGCCGGGCCCCACGGCCGCCTGCGCGCTCAGCGCGCCGCTGTTTTCGCCCATCTTGCCGCCGCCGCCGCCGCCGCCGCAGGGGAAGGCCGTGGAGGGAGGTGTGAAGCGGCGGCTGGTGCTCGGGTCTACGGGAATACGCATAACAGCGGCCGTCAGGGCGCGGGCCGCGGCGCGGAGAACTCCTCGGCCGCCTACGCCGCGGGGCGCGGGAAAGCAGAAGCGGCGCGGCCCGGCCCCCGAGCCTTCGCAGGGGGGCGGCGCCGGGGACGC